GTAGGGGCGCTTGGCGCACCGTGGCGCGATCGGGGACCACTGCACCCATAACCTGTGAGGGAGGCGGGTTGCGGGGCTCCATCCAGGCGCATTGAGAGTGGTGTCACTGTGAGAATTCACAGTTTGGAGCAAGCTTGTCCTCCCGCAGCCGCGGGGCGGGGTGGGGGGCGACGCGTCATGCTGCGGGAGCGGAGCTCTTTTGGGGCACAAGTTGGGCCAAGTTGGAAAATCGCTCCGAAGTGTGCTTCGCTCCACTCCTATTTCTCTCAGGGGTGGATTGTTGTCCCTGCCGCACGGCAGGGCGCCCCGTTTCTGGCCTGATCCCACCCCCTCTCCTTGGGGCGGTGGCTCAGCGCGCCACTCCGTTTGTATTCCCTGTTTACAGGAGTTTCCGAGATCGCAGCGGCAGTCCCCCGGCCCCTCCCGGTGCCCCTGAGCCTCTGCTCGGTGCGCCCCCTCCGCTGTCCTTCCTTGCTGCCCGCACCTCCGCCCCTGCCTTGCGTCCCGAGTCCTCCCGGCCCCACCCTGTTCTGTACCACGAGCCTCTCCTTTTCTCGCTCCTGGCGGCCCTCCGCGCCACCCCCAGCAGCCCCGCCCTGCTCTTGCCCCTCCGTGTTCCCCGCTCCAGAAAACTCCCTTCTTCTTCCAGGGCCGCCGAGCCTGGAAGTTTGCAGCGCTCCTCCCGACGGGATGGGTGGGAGTGGGGGTGGGGGTTGGGGAGCATAATTAGGGAGATTCCTGCGTTGGGGTGGGCGGGAGGGGGGGCGTGCAGCCACACAGCCTCCAGAACCGCCCCTTCCCCTCCAGAGGCGGCGCTTTCTCCCCCACCCAACTCCCAAACCCGTCCGGGCGGGATGGCCCCCGCCCCAGCGCTTGGCTCCGCGCCAGCAGCCTGAGGAATGTGGTGGTTGGAGCCGGTGACTAATTCAAACCAGAACTTGGGGAGGAGTGGTGAGGGGCAAAGGGGAGGGGGAAAGGGGCTGTGTGGGGGAGGTGGGGGCAGGAGCAGGGCTTGGCGTAGGAGGAGGACTTAGCTGCCCTCGCTGGACCCCTCCACTCGGGCAGCGCGCGCCAGGAGAGAGGGCCGGGGGCGAGGTCCTGCTGTGGGGCTGGAAAGGCAGCGTGCTTTAGGGTGTGTGCAGAGAACTGTGTTATGTAAGGCTTTCCCATGCAGGGAGGGGGTGTGCAGTGTGTGAGGGCCTGGCCCGCCCCTGGCAGGGCTGGGCGCCCCCTACAGTGCCAGGTCTGGGGTGTGGGGGCACAGATCCTTGGCGACTCTGGCCGGGAGGGACTTGTGAGTTGGGAGCAATGAAGGTTGTGCCCCTTGCGTGGGAGGGGAGCTGAGGGGGCCGATGAAAGACCTGGGGGGATCTCTCAGTTCTGAGCCTCGACAACCAGGTGGGGATGGCTCTGGTACTTCTGCACTGTGTGACCACGGAGGGATTGTGCGAGTTTCGTGTGTTCTATTGCGCGCTTCTTAGGGTGTGGCCCTGGGCGGAGGTGAGAGTAGTGGCGAGGTGCTCCGGGGTGCTTGCACTCGCTGCTGAATGCCCTGCTCTGTGGAGGGATTTGGGGAAAGGCAGTGTGAAGCCTCTCGTGGCTTTGAGGTCCTTAAAGAATGACATGGGATTTCCCCAGGAATAGGGGCCCAGATATCTACCTCTGTCCCCAGCATATCGCTGGGCTCCCAATAAATGGTTTTGGAATAGTTCTCCCCATTCGAATTTAACCTCTCACTGCAGGGTCTAGCTTCACCTTCTCTCCTTCCTAGCAGCACCTAGCACATGATAAGTGTTGGTTGATTTTGTGGGATCCAGTGATCTAATGGGTGCTGTCCTGATAGGTGAATTTGAGGGAGAATGGGGAAGAAGGGAGAGATTGATTTGGGAAGCATTTGAAGGTTTCCATGTCTGTACTGGGTGTAATTGAGGGGACTAGATCTCTCTTTGGTCCATGCCCCAGGAGAGAAGTCCCTGAGCAGGGTGTGGCACTCTTCTCTTTCCCAGGCTTCCTTCTCTGCCTGGAGGGTCTTTAGACTGGGGCCTCACCTGGTGGGCACAGTGTGCAGACTGGGGAGTACAAGGGAGCCCCAGCTTTAGGAAGCACCTTGTTCTGAGCTGTGAGCTGGGCAGTAAGAGAGGGTGGGAAAGGAACTGGGACCACCAAAGCTGAGTTAGCAAAGCCTGCAGGCCCTGTGGGGCGGATGGGAGATGAGTGCTGGAGGATGCGAGTCCTCTAAAGTCCTTGTCCCTAAGAGAGTATGCACAGGGACAGTGTGAGAGAACAGGACACAGGGGCAATGCAAGACATGCAGAGTTTAGTAATGCTGATATGGCAGTCAGGGGTCTTGGCCTGGGCAGCTCCTTGAAGAGATGACCCCACAGAGCTGGGGACACAGAGCTGCCAGCCAGAGGGTGAGGCTACAGGGCCAGGGCCAGGGTCAGGGTGGGGGATGAGAGAGAGTAAGCCATAGGAGACTGGTGAAGGAGGAAAGCCAGCATCAGTCAAGGGCAGGGAATGAGCTGGGGGTCCCATGTCACCTAAGACCCAGGGAGGCCCCTGGGCACCACCACACTGGATTCTTTTGCTCAAAGTGGAACTGGTTGGTGAACCCTGGCAGAGCACACCACCCTGAGCCTGAGGAGCTGGTTTGAGGGGTTGGGGCAAAGCTGTGGGGGTGGAGGGGGGTGTGGGCTACTAGGGTGTGGCTACCACCTCCTTTAGAACTTGAGAACTGCCTGGGGACAGAGAGGCAGACCAGGAGAGCTAGTTCGACTCCTGATGGGAACTTTGCCTGGACGCCCCCAGGTTTCTCTCCCTGGAGTTGGGCTGACCATGTGCTGTTGCACACTTAGGTTTGAGAAAGGGAGGTGGCCGCTGGAGAGGGTTTAGAATGTTCGATTAGGTCTGTAATCCTTGCTACTCCAGAGGCTGAGGCAGGAAGATTGCAGGTTTGAGGCCATCCTTGAAAACTTTGCAAGACCCTGTCTTAAAATAAACAATAAAAAGGGATGGAATGCAGCTTGGTGTTAGAGTGCCCCTGGGTTCAATCCTCAATACAGGGGGGAAAAAAAGAAAAGAAAAGAAAAAGCAAGAGAAAGAGTGCCTTTAGCTTGGGTGGTGGCAGTGGGAGTCTAGGGCCTTTTGCTCTCTCTGCCTGCTGAGGGCTTCAGCCACGCTGCCAGGGACTTACATTTCACTGGGCTCTACCAGTGGACAGTCTAGCCAGGCTCCTGAGCCTTTCTGAGTTCAAGCAGAGAGATTTCCTTCACGCCAGAATGTGTCTGAGGGGTTCCGGGGGCACATAGTGGAGCCACAAGGCACCACAGGAATTTGTGTATGCATTTTTTCTTTTTCTTTTTTGCAGTACTGAATTGAACCCAAGGGCACTTTACCCTTTGAACTACTTCCCCAGTCCATTTTTTGTTTTGAGTCAGGGTCTTGCTAAATTGCCCATTCCAGCCTCAAATTTCTGTTCTTCCTCCTTCAGTCTCCTGAGTCACTGGGATTATAGGCCCTGTATATGCATTTAAAAATATATTTTTTGGGCTGGGATTGTGGCTCAGCGGTAGAGCGCTCACTTGGCACAGGCGGGACCCGGTTCGATTCTCAGCACCACATAAAAATAAAGGCATTGTGTTGTGTCCATCTATAAAAAAAAAAAAAAAAGATTCTCTCTCTAATATATATATTTTAATTGTGGTTGGACACAATACCTTTATTTTATTTATTTATTTTTATGTGGTGTGAGGATCGAACTCAGGGCCTTGCATGTGCTAGGCGAGCGCTGTACCGCTGAGCCACAACTCCAGCCCCTGTGTATGCACATTTTGATGAACTCAGCCTCAGTTCCTACCCAACAAGGTTTGGGGCTGGGCCGTTGTAGCTGGTGGTCTTGGGTCTACCACTCTTAGCAGTGCAGGGATTGTAGCCCTACTGTGCCCTTGGGTCCCTGTGACTACCTGTGTCACAACCTCTGAATTTCTTTCTTTCTTTCTCCCTTGCTTTCATACTGGGGATGGAACCCAGGGTGTCGCTGAGCTACAGCCCCAAGCCATTTTAATGTATTTTGAGACAGGATATGGCTAAATTGCCAAGGCTGACCTTAAACTTTCGATCCTCCTGCCTCAGCCCCGAAGTTACTGGATTACAGGCATGTGCCACTCTGCCAAGCAGCAGCCTTTGAATTTGAGTGAGGTTTGCATCATTGTCTGTGAGTGGGTGTCCCATTGGTTGTACATAGGGATCCTCACATTGTGGTGGGCCTGGTGGGCCTCTGCTCGCCTAGTGGGGTTTGGAGGGCCTGGGTCATGGCAGTCTGCCCTGGTGGTGGAGGTTTCCTGCTGGCTGCAGAGGCTGTAGGTAAAGACTGGAGTTAGCCTCCCTGTCCCAGAGGTCCAGGCCCTAGAGTCTGTGTGCAGATATCTAGGAGAGAGAGGGCTAGGGAAGCCCTGGGAGTGCAACCCCACAGAGCGAGGCTGAGCGAGGCTGAGCGAGGCACTGCACACGTCCTGTCAGGGAGGGGCATCCTGCCAAGTCCCCTGGGGCCTGAGCGGAGGTTCTAGGGGAAGGGGAAGTGCCTGGAGCAGATCCTGGCTACAGCTCCGTGTCCTGACTGGGCTGGGGGGCGGCTCTTGGGCCCTGCCCGGCCCTGCGCCCCTGCACTAGTGTGGTCTGACCACTGGGGGGCGAGCGCAGAGCACTGTCTCCAGAGCTGGCCAGGAGGGGATGGAGGGCAGCCTCCAAGCTGTGCTGACCCCTCAGGGTCAAGGCAAGAGCTTTCTTCTTTACTCCCTCTCCCTGCCCTGAAGGGCCCCACACCTCATCAGTTGGTGTCCTAATCCCAGTGGTCCTGGATAAAGGGCCATTCTTCCATGTCTCTGTGGTCAGGTGTGGGAGTTCCCATTGTACAATATAATGCTTGTCCCCAAGTCTCTGTCACAAGGAGGGTAGGGGTGTCCCTCTTGGCCAAGGGAGGAAGCGGGAATCTCCCTCTCTGC